CTTGCGCAATGATGCATTCATCGCCAGTATCAGAGTAAATATTCATACTGCAATTGACTTATACAGCGCCTTCCACTATGAATGATGAAGTGACAAATGATAGAAAATTACGGTTGAAAGTGAAACAACGTGTAAAATGTCTGAATTTGCTTTATCATAGAATTTTGATTACCTTTTTGCAAAAAAAACCTGTGAATTGGAAGAACTATTCCAGTTCTTGACACGTATTGTATGCTTATTGCTTTACAGTAAGTAATGTCTTGCATGCTTATTCCCGTCAGATATTTCTAATGTAATGAAGAGATATAGTAGTGCTACCATTAACTGAGTACTTCGATATTGGGCACATTGTAGTTTGCTTTGCAAGTGTGAATGAACGCAAGCAAAAACCTTTTATTGCTACAAAAAAGAAGAAACTGGTAGCATCACAAATTTTCTATTCGCCTTACAGCTAACGAGAATAAAATATGTGCGAAACTGTTTACCGAACTTTTCTGTTTACTTATCACTGTCTCATTTATGCTAATTTTACATTAAGTCATGATATTAAGAAAATGAGTTGGAAAATATAAGGAGATATGTATGGGTCAATTACTCCTGAATTCACTTGAATTTGGACACTAAGACTTTATAATAAATCTATTTATATAACATTAAATAAATCAGAATTTTAATATTTTATATTCGTAAAGTACTTTTTCTATACTAATATGTACTAAATATCAAGTTATGTTTAAAATATTTTATCGCTCTAATCAAAGTACTACCTATTAAATTTACTGTTTGCATGACAATTATTATCAAAATTGTAATTAGCAATAAAACAATGCAAAAGACCTACAACACCTAGGATTCCCAGGCCGTCTCTGATCAAAGTACTAACCATGTCTAACGTTGCTTAACTTGACAGATCGGACCAGATGTCGTGCTTTCAACGTGGTATGGTCGTAGATGTCACTGGTAGTGTTATTTCCTATCATAATCTCTCTATCTATTTATCTATCATCAGCGAGATACCCAACTTCGAGAGCATTTGCCAATAATGCCTTCACTAATCGAAAACGAGCTTTGAAAGCTATTAATATCTAATAAAACTAAGTTAAAAAAGTGCATCATAGCTAATGATAGGTGTATTTGCTGTGTTGAAATGTACATGAAGAAAATCTTCAACAATAAACCAAGCAACATGCGAAGTCTGACTCGCTCACACTTACGTCGTACACGTATAAATGAAGTGTTTTCAAATAATGTATTACCACAAAATACAGTAAGCTGATAGCATTATATTCGAAAAGCCATGTAGTCCAAAGCCATATAGTCCAAAAGCCATATAGTCCAAAAGCCAAGTGAGGTCACCACTGACGTTTTTAGTACATTATTACTAAGTACTTTAAACCGCTCAATTATCTGTTGCAGGTTTTTTGATGTATCCCACATAAACGTCATTGATTCTATAATCTCTTTGCATTGCTTGTCTAAGCTTACGCCTAGTTGTCCACTATACATTATAATAAGCTCTGCCTATCTTTACTAAAGTCCTTATTATATTTTTCAACACTTTTTCGGAAATTCAACTTTATATACTTGTAGCACACTCAAAAATATAAACCTTTCTCAATTTTATAAAGTTTGGAACGACATTTTAAATATCAAAAACTAAAAATTCCGCCTATTCGATCCATTGTACCTGATGTTGGGCACTAAGACAGCAAAATAAATGCATTTTTATAACCTTAAAATAAATAGAACTTTGGTTTTTTATATTCTAAAGTGTTCTTTTTATTATATTATATATATCATTCAGTCAAAGTGCTACTTAAATTTATGCTTGCATGCACAATCATAAACACAATTGTAAAATTAAACGGCCCTTTTTTTGGATATGTTTCTCCAACAAAAATATCACGAAAAGTAAATAAGCTAAGATAAATGTAACAAAACTCTCTTAAATGTTATTAATAATTTGCGTAGGACACATTTAGATAACTTTTTTCGAGTAT